AGGCAGAGCTGCACATCGAGCACCTAGCAGAATCGTTCCAAATCCTCAAGGAGTACAAGATGAAACTCAACCTTGCAAAGTGCATCTTTGGGGTATCAGCAAGGAAGTTTCTGGGATTCATAGTCAACAGTAGAGGAATCGAGGGCTAACCCATAACAAGGTTAAGGCAGTTCTGGATATGCGACCACTGTCCAACATCAGGGATATCCAACGCCCGACAGGAAGGATAGCCACCTTGAGTCGTTTTGTATCCAAATCAAGTGACAAGTACCAACCTTTCTTTAAGGTCTTGAAGAAGGCATTTCAGTGGGACACCCGTGTGATGAAGCGTTCAAAGTACTAAAGAAGTACCTAAGCTCTTCCCCTGTCCAGGTAAGCCCCTTAGAAGGAGAAGTGCTGACTCTTTATTTAGCTATCTCGGATTTCTCAACCAGCGCAGCACTAGTTAAGAAGCGAGACAGAGCTCTGCAACCAGTTTACTACTATAGCAGAGCTCTGAGGGGGGGGCAGTGGAGAGATATCCGAAGATGAAAAAACTAGTTTTGGCCCTGGTGACTATGGCCAAGAGACTTAGACCATATTTCTAGGCTCATACTATAGAAGTTCCAACAAATCAGCCAATGAAGCAAGTGCTGCATAAACCAGAGTCTTCGGAAGGCTAGTTAAGTGGGCAATAGAGCTCAGCGAATTTGATATTAGGTATAAGCCAAGGGCTACAATCAAAGGGCAAATCTTGGCAAATTTCATCGTAGAATTCACCGCAGTAACACCCGCGAAAGCCACACTGCTAATCCCTGACCTTCCAGTATGAAAACTTTCGGTAGAAGGAGCTGCCAATGCCCAAGGAAACGGTTCAGGATTGATCCTGACCTCTCCGGATGGAGTAGACGTGGAATACGCCCTTAGGTTTGGGTTTAAGGCTTCAAACAACGAGGTTGAATATGAAGCTGTCATTATTGGGCTTAACCTTGCTCATTCAATGGAGACAGAGCAGCTGGAGATCAGCAGCGATTCCCAGCTTGTTGTGAAACAGATAGAGGAATCATACGAGGCTAAGGGTGAGAAAATGGTTCTCTACCTCAGAAAGGTACAGGAAATTGATCAAGAAGTTTGTGCAAATTAAGTTCAAGCACGTTCCTAGAGCCAAAAATTCGAGAGCAAACGCCTTGACAAGGTGGCAACAGTTTCGTAGTAGAATTTGGATAGTTTAATTCCAGTGGAGCATTTAGCAGAACCATCTGTATGCATTGAAGATGAAGAAGTCCTACTTGTGCAAGCACCACCGAGCTGGATGGACCCCATCAGAGGGTATCTTCAAAATGAAACTTTGCCGGAAGATTCCAAAGAAGCTGCAAAACTAAGGGTCAGGTCAACCAAATTTACTATTTTATAGGGAAACCTATACAAACGGGGGATTTTTGACACCTCTACTCAAAGATGCCGCAAATCTGGTCAAGAGATGTAAAGCTTGCCAAGTACACGCCAGCATTCCCCACTGTCCACCAGAGCTCCTAACATTGGTGGTGAGCCCCTGGCCTTTTCAACAGTGGGTTTAGATATACTTGGCCCCCTCCCTACGGGGGTTGGACAATGCAAGTTCGTCATTATTGGGTGGGACCACTTCACAAAATGGGCAGAGCAGAGCCTTTAGTAACAATCAAAAAACAAAAAGTCCAAAACTTGTCTAAAAGTCGATAATCGACAGATTTGGATTCCAATGACAGTTGTTTCAGAAAATGAAAGCAGTTTGATAACCCTAAGTTCAGGAATTTTGTGCCGAGCTAGGGATAAAAAATTTCTTTTTGGCCCCAGCTCATCCCCTGTACCTTTGTATCATGAAATTTATGTCTATAGAATGTTCTCAGCATCTTTCATTCACTTCTTTCTCATCTTGTGTGTTTTACTTATCCCTAATATGATTCTCCAATAAGTGAAATCAGTTAACTTCCTGATCTTACAAGACAAGCCCATTTATATGCAACCATCAGCATAATTCTCTCCCTGTCTCTCCTTATGTGTGCGGGTGTGTGTTCATGTTCCACTTTTTCTGTGTTCTGGTGTTATTTGGTGCATATTTGGGTACAATTATTGTTTTCATACTTCCAATTAAGTACTTTGCCATTACTCTGATCGACAGCAATTTAACTTGCCAGTGTATATGTGGTCCCAGATTGAGTTGAATGTAAAACGATGTATGAGACCTTACTGTCTATCCTGCCTTCGTTAACGAGTTATTTCTCACTGGAAAAGAATCCCTACTAGTTGGTGTCCTTAGTTTGCTGAAACTTGCTGCGACAACGATGAATGTTTTTATAGAACAGCAAATATATACTGTTTCTGGTAAGGAATTTGTTTATGGAGACATAAGCTATCAAGTAACGTCATATATGCTTTAGTTTTGCCCATGTAATGTCCTCTTGGTGAGATTTTAATTAGTTAAATAGTATTTGAAAAACAATCCAACAGTAAATGAGAATTCAAGTTCTGAAATAAAAGCCCAAGAACATCAGACAGTAAACAAGATCGGGTTCCTTGGACCTCAAATTTTTAGTTACCAGTTTCTTCCTGCCCTGCCTTAAATGATTTTATTCCATATGTGCGTGCGTGTAACTTTTTGCAGCTATTTGCTTTGACACAGTTAAGAAGCACTTGACACCTAAACCTGGAGAACAGCCCAAACTACCAGTACCTGTATCTCCAATTGCAGGTGCTATTGGTGGAATGAGCTACCTTATGCACGTACCCACTTGAGTTGCTCAAAACTCGACTAACCGTCCAGGTGTACAGAATAGCACGGGGATTTCATATATTTACAGCATTAACTATGAAGCTGTGGCTTGTTATTTATGGATATCGTGTATTTGCATAGGGGTGCTTACAAGAATCTTCTAGACGCTTTTCTGAAAGTACTGCAAGAAGGGGGACCTGCAGAACTTTACAGAGGCCTTACCCCCAGTATAATTGGAGTAATCCCATATGCCGCCACTAATTATTTTGCTTACAATTCATTACGGAAAGCTTACAAGAAGGTTTTCAATCGGGAGGAAATTGGAAATACTGCAACTCTCTTTATCGGATCAGCAGCTGGTGCCATTTCAAGTAGTGCAACTTTCCCACTTGAGGTGGCTCGCAAACACATGCAAGTTGATGCTCTCAATGGGAGACATTACAAGAACTTGCTTCATGCCGTTTCAAGCATACTCGAGAAGGAAGGGGTTCCTGGTCTGTACAGTGGGTTGGGGCAAACTGCATTAAATTGGTCCCTGCTGCTGGAATTTCTTTCATGTGCTATGAGGCATGCAAGAACATCCTTGCCAAGGAAGAAGATGATCCATAAAGATGGGAAACGCAAATTCTGAGGTATTTACTAAGACACATTAGATTTATTTTCCAGCTCATACAGTTTTTGGTGAGAGAGAATTTCAAAGCAAAATAAGAGCAGTATTTTCTTAATGTGATCCTGTCTAGTTTATGTTCTTCCATAGGATTTGGTTCAAAGATCATATCTGTGAAACGAAACTTAAATTGGGCTTTTTTTTCGCTGCATTGATCGAGTTTATTTCAAAGAATTGAGATATCTGATGTTTGACAGGCTTTTGAAATGGAAAATCTGGAATGTTAGCTTCCATACATTCCTCATTTTATTTTCTATAATTTGATCTAGCAACAAGTAACATGATAGAACAATAATGCTACTCAACATATTTTCTTACCAAAATAATGACAGATTTCCATTGACAAGAGTTTTTTTAGAGGAGAAATTCAAGAGCTGAAAGTTTCCAAAATTTGATCAGTATCCAAAACCCGAACCCTCAAACAAAGTCAAATGAAAAATTAAAAATAAAATAAAAATAAATGCAGAACAAATAATATATTTACCCATGATTTTCTTCACTCATTTTTTTTTCCCACCAGTGTTCATGCATTTGTCGTAGTTGCAAAGATACAAAAGAACAAACATATCGCATGGGGTCTATATATGTTTTCAAAACCATATGACAATGAGACAATCACAGGACTGAAGCCACTGCACTATGCACATATTGGGAAGTAAGCACAGATTTGGAAACTAACAAGCTCGGTTGGATAACATTTTTGTAATTACAGCATAATTTTCAGAGCAAGAAACTTGGGTAAAACAGTAACGTAAGCTATAGGAGCATTCTGATCTCATTTCGGTTAAGCTAGATTCCAAACATTGTCGACATATGTATTTGTATGAACATGAAATATCCCAACAAGCTTTAACATGATACTTCCCAAGGTACATCATCATTTAAACTTTGCATTGATAAACAGATAGAACGTGCAAGTCAATAATGGAAGTTGCTAATAGAAAAATTCAATAATACATACACCAAA